GATGGAAAATAATCATCTTGTCGACAATTAGCATCAAGAGGAGTATGATCTGATTTTGAATCCGTTAATACATCACTTAATCTATTCTGTGAAAGAAAAGCTCCCCACCATCCAAATGTTCCTGCAGTAAGAATAGTATGTTTACATAGAGTCAATGTAGCTAAATCATCAGCAGCACTAAACGAATCAGGTGTCACTAATACATTCTTTTTCTCACCAAATGTTTTTCGACAATATTCTTTATCATCGGATACTATAACAAATATAACTGAATGATATTTTATTTCAAAATAAGACATTGCATTGAATATATATTTGTTTGACGAAACACGTCGAACACGTAGAAAATCTCCTCGTCGAATATGTATGCCTACTGAAGTAGAAACATTTTTATTGATATTTTTCTCGAGAAAATTCTTCACTCGATCTAAAATTGATTGTTTAAAACGTAGTTGCTCTCTTATTTGTTCCATATGATCGAGAAAATATTTATGTACTTGCCAAAATCCTGATAATTCAATCGAATAACTGTTGTTTGCATGTAAAAGATTAGAAATATATAAACAATGATTCTGTATTTTTGTAATTGAAGTAAAATTATTTAATTGTGATTTCGACAACAAATTTGTCAAATTAATCTTGAATGTTTGTTGTAGTTCATCAATAATATTTCGATCTATGTATAACTGACATGAATATTTCAGTGATAAACCATAAGCTGATGCAAACATAAATAAACGATTTCCAAGTCGACCACTACGTTCACGTAAAATAATACGACATTGTTTAGTATCATTAAATATAGTCTTATTTTTCCATAATTGTAAAATATATAGTGATTTTAAATGAATGTTTAATAGATAGAATAGCATAATCATAATAACGATCAAACTTGTTAGTTTTAAAGTTTGATTTCTATACATTTTCTATCGTGAGAAATATTTGAATAAAATAATCTAAAAACAAACAATAAAATCTAATAATAGCAGATCAACGACATCATTATTGAAGTCATTTTTTATAATGTGAACCTATGACTGATAGATTTGTTTTTAAATTATTATTAAGCATTTTACAAAGTAATATATTTCAAAATCTAATTTATTTATTCAATTTTAATATTAATTAAAGAAACTAAACAAGATATAAAGATCTACTCTCACTACGATAACTTATGCTCTGAACAAACTTTAATTTTGATGTTACTCGAATATAGATAACATTAACATATTACCATAATCTTGTTTGTGATTTCTTTCGTGAAATATAATAGTACGAAATAATCTATATTCAATGATAAAAAATGTTAAGATATTTTTATGGAATTGTTCGATTTCAATGCTTATTCATCAAAGTTGCTATTGACGTTTTTACTCTATTAGCGAATCGATTACGAATACTAGTATCTTCAACAGTTTCGTTAAAACCACATCCTGGCATAGTACGTAGACGACTCATCGATACATAATGAGCAAGTGTTATGTGTTTTTCTGATGGATGTTGTTTCGAAAGTCCAACTATTTGATGATGAATTGATAAATATTGAACAAAACGTGGTCGATACAAATACTTTTCACGTCCACGTTTGTGTCGATTACGTGCACGAAAACTAAATCGTTCAATAGTTAAACGATTTGTGTCTTTCTCTACTGGAGTATATGCACTAGCGTTTTTATTGCAAAAGAACTGACTCCATAGATTAATTGATCCTATAATTCTTCGACCAAAATTTGCATGAACATAATCAACAATAGTTTCATATGGAGGTAGTGGTACAATATATTCATCAAGATCAAGCATACCTAACCATTCTGATTGATCACCATAACGAATTAGACAATCGTGTAATGCTTCTGTTTGAAAATATCGTGTTGGTAAAACATCAACAAGGCCAAGAGTAGAGAAATTCCATTGTACAACATCAACAAGACCAGGATATTTTTGAGTATAGATATTAATAATAGTTGAGAGATAATCATCAGTATCAGTTGTATTATATATGATGAATTTACGAAATCCAACTAGTCGATGAAACTCTATCCATTGAACTAAATATTTACCTTTGTTATGTAAAGGTGAAGTACATAATGTAAAAGATTCTTGACTAGAATTTGATGAAATGATAGAAACTAGTGGAACTTTTACAAATGCTTTTAGTATAGGTATTTTTCTACCTTTTGCTGTTGTTGATGCAAGATAGACTCGTATTGTTTGATTCAGTTTCCATAGCTGATCATTAGCAAATGGACTAAGTGGACAATCCAAAAGAGATACTCGTTCACTGCCATATTTGGAATCATAAGTATAGACAGGTGTTACTGACCCATCACTAAATATACACCAGAGGCTCTGTTGATTTGACGAGAGTGGATGAGATGATATGGTTTTTGGTAAAACAGTTTTCATATCGGTTGGATAAACTGTAATAAAAGTTAGACTTACTCCATATCGTATACGACTTGCCGCGGCACTTAACACAAGCAAATGGCCATCGGCTGATAAAGATGGTACTTTAGGTATATTATCTTCAGCATATTCAGACCATGCAGCAACGACAATAGACATATCATGAAGTAAATTTTGTTCATCAATAGTATGTCCCACAGGTTTCCAACCATCTGTTAGACGAGAAATGCTACTAAACTGAGAAGAATATGAGGTATGAGTATTTAAAGTAGTCGTTACGAATTGATAGTTTGTGTATATGTAAACAGTTAATGAAATAAATAGAATTAAAATAAATAGAACAAATGACATGTGAATCTTGAGTGATAGAAGCCCCATAGATATTCAAATAATCTAGAACTAAAAAGTAAGTGAAACATAAAGTTACATAACTATGCATTGAGAGTGTAATAATGTATCATTCCATTGTGTAATCTTTGTTTGAGTACGAGTGTAGGTATAAGATGAATGTAATACCGACCGACTCCAAAACATTTTTCCATATTCACATTGACTACCTACCAACAAAGTGATCAGTCAAAGTTGATAATATAATGATGACGACGCCAAATAAAAATATAATGATTCATACATGAATAGATAAATTCTCATAGTTATGGCTTCGATAGAATCGAATTATTAAGGAAAAGATTTTAAACAACATCTAATTATTTTTTTAGAAGTGTTTATACATATGATTCTATGATACAATTACATACTTGTCGATGTCAACCGCAGATAGCAGCAGCAGATGTACCACTTAGACCGATAAGAAAGATTATAAGAACTAGATATGTCGACATTTATTATCTAAAACTAAAAATATCGGATACTTCAGTGTATTCTATCTTGAACGACATCTATTTCTAATTTGACGGAGACATATCTCATAGGCAATAGTGGTGATTTCGTCAAAGGACACAAAAAATCGAGTTTCTTTGAAGAATTTATTCTTGTTAATGTCACCGATGTCGAAACTACAATTAGTATTCTTTCATACATAAGAAAACAGAAGTTGACGATAAGTTTTATATTTCAATGAAAAATTGAGCCTTCACGATAACTGCAATTGTGATACCACCTATTTTTACGAACGCGTTAGTGATGTATACTCAAGGGGGAAAAAGCGAGACTTCAGGAGTGCGTACTTCACTAGTACTTCACTTGTACTTCATCGGCACTTCACCAGTACTTCATTCTACTTCACTCGTACTTCATTGTACTTCACTCTACTTCACCAGTACTTCACTGTACTTCAAAAACATTTTGAAGTAGATGAAGTCTCGCTTTTTCCCCCTTGTGTATACTTCAAAACAGATGCCCAAAACAGATATGATCTTACAACAAATAAAACGTATTACTCGGATTACTTTAAAAAATATATTTTTTTATAGAAAATATTATAATAGAAAAGTGAATGTTCAAAGAATTAATTTCTCTTACATTTTATGCATAATTGTACAAGTAAAACAAAAATTTGAAAATGAATAGTATAAAAAAATGTTGCTAACTAGTGTAGTTGTCACCAACTCAAAACATAATATATGATACATTACCGTTAAAATCCAATGCAAATATATAAATTCGAACAGTATCATAATATTATTCGAATCTCTTCCTTTCATAATTTTTTTTTCTTACCTTCATGCTAATTCTATTTGGCCTTTATTAATAAGCATTTTTTTTCATAGCTCCATGCATTCATTAATAACGCATGATATTTTTTCTTCGTAAAAAGAAACGAAAGTGCGCAAATCATGATGTTGTTCGGTTATTATTAATGCAATAAAACTTCACAATACTTCTATTTCGTGATAAAATATGATTCATCTTGAGAATGTGAGTGTGAGTGCGAGTTTAAGTCTAAAAAAGAAAGGGTAGACACTCTTACCTTCACCCACACCCTCAAGATGGTATTGTATTTTATTCATACCCACACCCATTTCGACTTTTGTTTTTTTTGCTTTCAAAAAATGTAATAATTCTTGTGTTAAGTTTTTAGCATTACAATTGTTTATGATCAATCGTGTGTATATGACTAGGGTTTGTCGACATGTTTCATTCTATAGCCGATGTTACTCTTGTTTGTGTGATTGATGACATTGTTCGTGTGCGTAATGGATTCTAAGGTGATTGTTCTATTTTGAAGGTTTTCGTGGTTTGATCTTGGATGTGGGTGTCGGTATTTGTACTCTTAACTCACACTCACATCCAACTCTTTTTATTCAATAATCATCTTCAACTAAAAGATTCAGACTGTCTTTAAAATACGTCTCTCTTCAAAATGTTTCTTCATGATTCTACAATTCTTTTCTTTTCTGAAAAGACTTTTTATTGACGAAGAGAAACTTCAAAATAACATTTGAAGAAAGTAGATTTTGTTAATTTTTATTGAGACTGTTGAATTGAGTGTTGAAAATCGTTTTATTTTGGATTTTCAAAAGTTTGAGAAAAGAAAAAATTGATTTTCATGAAAACTAAGGGTGGGTGTGGGTGAGGATGCAAGTTCAGGGTGATGATACTACTCTCATCTTCAGTCGCAGCCGGCTAGTTGATCAAGGATACGTTGTAATAAATGTAAACTCGTGTTCATCTTCGTCAGCCACTCTATAAAGATATAAACCATGCCTTCCAACACGATGATCATGACGCCGAGAAAACAAATAAGTTCCACCTTGTTCGACCTTCTCCAGAAGAAAACGTAGCACTTGATAAAGAAATCTCAAAATTTCATTTTTGGCTTCACGATCAATAAGACTCGGAGCAACATATTCGCGGATATCTACGAATAGTGGTGGTTCATCAAATGTACGCTGACCAACTATCACCGTAGTTGCGCCACCTAGAATAAAAGAAAGATCTTAATAAATCATATTTTCTAAACGACAACTATTATATTGATTCTAGAAGAATTATCATAAGAATTTCTCATACAAAAGCTTTATCGAGCAGACATCATGTTATGAGGAGTGTACGAAATCATCGATCAATTTTTTTTTGAAAGACGCTAGTCTATACTCCGATGAGATATCTTTGAAAAATGAGTTTAGTCATCTAAAACATTTTAATCTGTTTATTATGTCTTGAAATACTAACAAAAACTTGTTAGATGCTGTAATATTTTTCAGTTTGCTGAATTCTTTTTACTAGAGTATGAAAATCCGATACATATATACAAATAAATTTGCATACATTTTCATAAATATATAATATGTGTAATGAATTTTCTTTACTTAGTCTGGTAGACTTACCAAGAAATGTCTGTAGCCAAGTGTCGCGTCGATCGTAAATATTAGTCCTGCCCCCTCGACTTTTGAGTTCAATCGCTTCATTAATCAATCGCCCCCGTCGACGCCATCGACGGACTGCATCAGTTTCAGCTATGATTAGTGTTTTTAAAGTACCAATGTTTCCTTCGACTAATAGATTGTAACTAGCATCGAGATTATAATCAGGTTTACACATTCGTTCGAATCGATGCCCTACATCATCTACGTTACGATGTTGATTATCATGACGTCTGAGGAACAGTGTTGTACCAAATCGCTTGACACTAATTACATAATTTTCTTTATTCATGGCAATCTTTCGAAATGAATTTCTTTCGCTGACAATGTTGTATTTACGAATATCGACATTGTTGCGATGAGCAGTGATAAGTAAAGGAAGGAGTGAAGCTGGTTTTGGTGGTGGACCGGTCGTATTACGTAATTCGGGTGGAGGATCTATTGTATTGCGTATTTCCGGTGGAAACACAGAGTTAAGATTCGGCTCTTGGTAATAAGGAATTTGACATACGCTTAAAACAGAACGCTCATGTCCTTCAATATCTGTATGATCTGTTGGATGCGGAAATTCATGATTAAACGAAGCGAGAACTTTCGGTTCATATTTATTGGATAGTTCAGTCAAGGAACTTTTGTTCGAAGCTTGACTGTGATAATCGTCAAATGCAACAGGCTGTTGAGAACGATTGAAAACTTCATCATTAATTGGTAAAGTATTCTTATCTCTTGGTGGTTGATTAGCTGATTGAGCTAAAATATATGATAAAGTCTCAAAATTGATTTATTTCGAACTACTCAGAATCTATAAAAAAATCTCTTTCCACTGTTCCAAGTTCTGCTCAATGAATAAAGAAATCGTTAAAGAATTCTCGTTTGTATTTGGTTAGTCTGTTTGATCAAAATTTGTTTGTATGAAATGCTTTCTCACTGATTCTAATGCACATAACAAGTTTTTGTTGAAGCCACCGAAAGCAATATCAACGCAGACGCAATGTTGAAAGATATTTGCAAAAAAATATATCAAGTAATGTACTATAAAACGATCATCAAATGATTGACAAAATAATTTACCTAAATTTATATTTGGCTGGTTTATAGGAGCGGCTGCATTGTTCGGATATCCTTCAATTAATTCTTCGTTTTCTGGCGGCCCTTGTTGATAATGATCGTTGCGATTTGTGTTGTCAAACTCCATACGACGTCGAATGTCCCTAGAAAAAAATGTTTTTTCGAAGATCACTGAAATGGATGTTCAACATACTCTATAAATGGTCGAAGAGTAAAATACATGTCGAATTCATCGTCGGCTGTATGATTAACAATGTCGTCTATTGCGAGCCATTGACAAGCCTCAAATGTAAATATAAATATTTGTGTATCTTTGCTGTGTTGTTCAAAAATCAAAATACACTTTTCGAATGAACTTACTTGGTTTTCATATGCATCGCGCAATTCGAATTCCACTATGGGCTCATCGAAGTGACTAATGAACAGTCCGATGACCTTAGCATAATCACTTTCTAGTCTTCTATCAAACTGATGCTGAATATAGTTTTGTGAATCTAAATGTTGATTTTCTTGGAGATCATAATGCTCAAATATTTCGTCGGTGATGCCGTGTTTCGCACGAATTTGTTCATTAAATGCACGTGAAACTGTTTCAATAATAGGTTCCAATTGAAAATTATTATCAATTTTTCGACGATCTTTAGGAGCACTCCAAATGCCATTATGATTTTGAACGGCTAAGATCTAAACAGATATATCTTGTAATGTGAGTGTTATATAACAGAATAGAAATAAAAATTTCTATATCATCATTTCTGTGAGTAAAATGATTCTGCCTCGCGAACTTCAGTACTCGTCAATTATTTATGCATGTGAAAAATCTAATATATGAACAAAGCTTTCAATGTAAACTTTATGACGTTCAGTTGCTAAACATGGAATAGTTACTGTTATTCTTTTTCTCACAGAGACGAGTCTAGTGAATATAAATAGTTTGTTTGCTTGCTTGTGTATCTGCACTTACTGATTAGTCAGAAAATACTGTATGATCAGATTGATCTGGAACGCTGGAGTCCGCCACTATTTGAGGGTGAATGTGGGATGTGAGTATGGCTATTATTTTCCCTTCTCACTCACACCCATCCTTCGATGTGAAGAAGTCAAATCTGAGTTTCACTTTCTCAAACAACTCATTTGAAGGAGAGGCATATGAACTAATAGAAATCGAGCGTTTATATTGATTATAGATAGTGGGGAGATGTCCTTTATATGAGAAAGAGCTGAGCTAGTTTACAGGCGAGCGTTACCAAACTTTCAATTCACATTTCACATTTTTTACCTTTTTTTCTGAATTGAATAGTAAGACACCATATAGTGATCTTCGTAGTATTGGTTTTCGTAAGTAGTTCAATATTTGCTTTCCATCTTCTTGTTCAAAATCGGCATAATGTACTAGAAAAAGTCGATTGATAATTTTAGAAGAAACTTCAATTCGATATTTTATCTAACCTTGTTTAAAATGTTCAATAATTTGTTCTCTAGGCAAAGCATCACGATTTTTCGATGTTGTTCTATTGCCATGTTCATCTTTTGATTGCCGATAATGTTCCTCTTGATCCTGAATGCCTTTCAAAATTCTCATCACTTCTGTTTTTGGCTTAACATTAGAAAAGATCCTGTAAAAAAAAGAAGTAAATTATTATTATTAAGTATATTAATTATTCAATTAAATGCGAATTTTGATATTCAACAATATCTTTACGTATAAAGAAAATGGTATTGATTTTGATTGAAAATACTCACTTGTAAATTTCAATAGGTGGTTGACTATTATTAAGACGTCGTTCATTGACATATCTAATAGAAAAATAAAGAAAGAAATGTTATCCATTTTAAACAAACTTCAATAGCTCAATACATTAGCAGATCTATAGTCTTTTACTTCATTCTATCTCTTAAGAGTGGTTCAATGCCATATGAGTATATTCTACAAAGCTTCAGAAAAGAAAACTAATACATTTTTAGTCGGTTAATTATGTTGTGGAGTGAATACTATCAAGGATTACAGTGTGAATAGATCTTTCCTTCACCCATATCTTTGCTTTTGATAGTCTCATCGATACTGATTACACACACTCGAGATGCTTTGATATATATGTGTTTATGGTTTACTCTTTTAAGAAAGTTTCACGTGGTTCAGAAGAAAATTTTGGAACCGCAGATGATTGTACAGCAATATTTTTTGGATAATTTCGAGCTGCCACATGATGTTGACTTCTGTTTGTTGTCGAATAATCATTCTGATTTGCTTTGTACTTATTTGATGCATCATAATCTTCTGAAGGACTTTCATCACTATAATCCTCAGAATCTATATCATAAATATATGACTCATTCATATCATACATCCATTCATCCTTGTGTTCTAGATCAGATATATGTTTATTTTTTGTCTTTGATGTAGGAAACATAAATAGAATTTTTACCTTTTTCTTTTGACTTGAGTTCTAGTTCAGTAGTAACTCTATTCCGGTTTTTTTCTTTCGATTTTCCTATATGAATAATGAAAATATTAACATAAAAAACAAATGTCTTTCTATCAAACAGACTAAGAATACAATGAAAACTCAAACGACATCAGTTTCATTACTTTACAGATGACTTTTTCCAGTAGTCAACTGAACTATTCCAAGAATGAATTTTCAAATACTATTTTGATCATCCCTTTTCAAAAACTATCTTAGTCGAGACAGTCTCCTTCTCTCCAAGAAGTGATTTTATGAAGAGAGCAACTAGTTTATAGAGATAAAAGTATGCACTTACCACGTTGATCTGGTATCATTGTTTGATTAGTTTAATTTTAGATTAGATCTGTAATCAAATCTAAAAATACAAAGAATCAAAGGGGTTATCGAAACTTCGCCGATGGGAATTTCGCAAATTGGACTTCCGCCATTGGCGAACGTCCACTGTACTTTGGACGTAGGAAGTGACCCAAAACTGGTGTCAGTCAAACTGGAGTCCGTTAGTTCATATTTTATCTATCTTTTATATATGAATAATTTCAAGAATAAAGACAGGCGCCGAGCTAGCATCTGACCTTGCTTGTTTAGGTATTATTTTTCTGGACTAGTTCGTTCGGTTGCCACTTAGTTAAAATCAATTAATGAGAAACTAATTAGAAATAGTTTTCAGCTAAATAACAGAAGAATTCAAGGTTTCCAAATGGACTTCATCATTCCCGATAGTAATGAGTTAGCATTAATAAACAACTTCTGAATGTTCCTTTTAATTTTCCGGGTATATTTAGGGATGATTCTCACAGCTTTTTGAAAGGTATAAGGAGATTTTCGCTATACTTCTCACGATATATCTGTAAATGATCCTTATCACTTTTTGAGGGTGAGGGTGAGTGAGTTTGAGTGTTTTCTCTTTGTCGACGGCTATAACTCACGCCCGTATGTTGCGAGATGTAGTCAATAGATTATTATCTTCACACTATTTCTTGCGCTAAAGCCTAAACTCCGCAAGGTACTTAATGTGGTGAAGTAGATTATTTCCTTTATTTTGACACCAAGGTATTTGAAGTTGAGGCTGTTTTGCTCACCCGTACTATCACGACTAGTTGAAAACTCTACTGAATCGACACGTACTCGAGTCACCTTCGGTCTGTACACCTATTTACCGAAAGACGAAAAAATAACATCACAGTTACTACTTCCTACTGAGTTCTGAAATAATTTCCTTCACGTCACACAAGGGTTACAATAATTTCACCTGAAAAAGAAAATGTAGCAATGAAAGTAAAAAATATTCCTTCCAATATTGAGATTGTAAGAATGATGATCGACAGCTTTTTTCCGGGAAAGAGTCTGAAGACGAGAATAAATAAGTTTTTTTCAGGAGCGAATGTATAGGAATGAGAGCAAGAAAAATACGATTGCCAATGAGAATGGAGAAATGATGGTAGACAAGTTTCTTTTCCCGGAAAGAATCTGTGTGGATGGGAATAAATAAGTTTTCTTTTGTAGAAGGAAAATACAGAAATGAATACAAAAAATTCTTCCAACTAGAAGAATATAATTATGATGATGGACAAGTTTTTTCCGGGAAAAAAGTGTAACAATACAAAAAAAAAACAATTTTTTCAGGAGGTAGAATGTACGAATGAGAGTAAGTTGTGGATTTGGGTGTAGAGTGTTACCCACTTCTTCACTTAAACCTCATACACACCGACACCCTCAACTCACGTCTTCTGTTTGATAAAAATTTGTTTTCCATTTTCTGATAGAAAGATTGCGACTGTGGATGAAGCCACTAGAGAAAAAGGTAAGGAACAACAGATTAATTGGCGGCATCAACAACAACTACATTTATGGCAACACAACACGGTAAAGAGACGGATGAAAACACTTAATATCCGGAAAAATTAAATTATTACAATTAAGTACACATGCAACGGGAAGAAAAAAACCAGACGACAAGAGAACAAATAGAATGTGGTGTAAACAATTTTCTTCGTTGTTTTACGTGACTTTCACTATTTTTATTGTTCTTCACTGATTATCCATTTGTAGAAAAAAGAGAAAGAAGAAAAAAATTTCCGTGAAAATCTAACGGCAATACAATCATAAAACCATCTACACCCACACCCACCACAACACGTTGTTTGCATCCAGATTATAATGGTAGTTGGTATGAAGCACATGATCTTCATATTTGGTTGTAACTAGCTATTACATACGTAGTTTCTTCTATGATTTTGTTTTTAAACATATTTAAATTATTACACATTATTCGAATACTTTGAAAACCATATTAAATGAGGTGCGGGCGTGTATGCAGAATTATGATAATCACATATACAGTCATACCTTCAATTTTTTGAAAAACTGAAAATAAATTATAATATTAGATGATGAAAAAAATAATTAGTATTTTATTTCGATGATTTTTTTTGCTCATAAAAATAATTACGATACATTAAAGTAATTAAGAGTCTTTTCAAATAGATATATTGATTAATACTTGTATTTTATTGTATTCTTGCGAATTTTTGTATACGATAGTTATATGTATCTGTAACATATAAATTCATTTCTGAATCAAATGCTACATCACGAGGAAAATATAATTCATTACTGCCATTACCAACGCGACCGGTCCCGGCAATTGTAATTCCAAATACAGCATTTGGACAAAACATTTGTATTCTATTATTTGTACAGTCAGCGATATATAGATTTCCATATTTATCAAGAATTACACCTTGAGGACCATTTAATTGAGCTGCACTATTACCAGGTCTTCCCGGTATACCAGCATATATATTCTTATCTCCGTAAGCTTCCATATTCCATTGTGTTACTGAATGGGATTCTTCGTTTGATATATATAAATTATTATTTGGTTCATCTAAATATAAACCAATTGGATTGTTCAATTGGTATGGATTCATACCTTGACCATTACCACCCTATAATAACAATGAAGAGGTTACTATTAAAAGTATTAAAATGTTTATTAACATATTATTATTGTTTACGTTTATATGATATAGGATAAGTTCTGATTCAGCGAAAATAAAATCAATAACTTACTGCTACGATCGTCCCAGTCGATGTTCTTGGATCATATACAGATGACCATCTTATTATACGTTGATTTTGCATATCGGCAACTAATATATTTTTCTTCGAATCGAGTACAAGACCAAATGGATAACTAAATTCATTTAATGCTGAACCACTGGTTCCATTACCCGCCACCGTTTTTCCACTTTTAGCATTTTTCTCCCAAAACTGGACTCGTTGGTTACCCTCATCAACAACAAAAACATTTTCATTTTCATCTGCAAAAATATCTCTGGGACCATTCAATTTGTCTGATGTTGACCCAGCATCACCATTAGCTTGACCAGCTGCAGTTTCTATTTTACCATTTGGATACATTTTTTGCACTCGATTGCTAGAAACATCAGCAACATATAATATTTGTGTTTTAGGTTCGATAAATAGTCCATGAGGAAATTGTAATTGATCTGGACCTATACCATAACCATTACCAAGAACTGTTATTCCTGTTGTACTCCATTTAAGATTACCTGGACCTAATGTTTCAATAAAAACACTTAAGTCTCAATTACTTTTGTTTTCAACATGCAACACATTTAAACTTTTCAATCAAGAATCAAAATGATGTATGGTCTGAGTGAAAAATATTTTTCGATTGTCAAAGATATAAATCTATTCAGCATTTATATCTGCTCTATATAATTATATTATATATTTGTTAAATGGAACATCGAAGTGTTTCAATTTAAAAAAACTGAATTTATACTTACAGTCGCTTGAATCTTTATAAAAAGTTTGACCTAAAAGTAAGAGACAATAATTCGTAATTTTTAATGATTATTTTATCTATTTACCATTATTTGCAACAATTATCCTAAAAAGTAAAAAAAAAATATTTCACATCAATTGGAAAAATGTTCGAATTAAGAATGACTCAACTTGATCTCACATACTTACGAAAATAAGCATAATAAATATGATAACATAGTTTTGTTAGGTGTGTCACTTTACTGCTCTTTACAACAAAATGACAAACATTTGCATCTATTTCACCTTTTATATTTGTTTCATTCTTTATCAATGCATTGTCATTTACGAATAGCATATTCTGATATCAAACAATGACACAAGAAGAAATGTATGCAATAATTCAAACAAGTACTTAGAAAAGTAAAAACCTGTATTTATATGAATGATTCTATAATTAATTAGATATCGAAAACACAAAGATAAAACTCACAATCACATACTTTTAGGCAAAAAGACATTGAACACACACCTGTAAGTAAATTTTTACAATTTACATAAGGTATAGATAATTCGAACTTGAAGTAAAATATATTTTTCGCAGGATTTGATAAATTTGAGAAAATCATTTCACTCTAGAATACTTGTGTTTCGTACTTCGGTAAATAAAAGAGATTGTTACTAACACGTGCACGAATGCATATTTATACACAGTGTGATTTATTATTGTGATGACTCTATTATAAGTTTATTTCCTCCTCTATATCACTTCCGTATCAATGAGACACGGAAAATAGACTTTACCATAAATCAGCCCGCTTGATTTCTGTTTCTACACCTGCAATGAGACCGAGAATATCGGCGCATGCATATCCACCTTGTTCTGGAAATAGGTGGCTAAAGGTTGCATAATTTTACTTGCATTTTCCTTAACTTTATTTGAAACTGAAACTTCTTTTTCATAAAGTTCTTGAATGGGAGTGTGAGTGTAAATTTATATAACCCACACCCTCAAGATTAGGGCAAGAGAACAATGTTTTGAATGATTCAGGCATCGGAAACTATCGGTTGATTATTGGTACATTCAACAACTGATCCCTGCAGAGTTAATTTGTAGAAAAGAAGCCTTTTTGACAAAGGCTGACAGAAATCGGACCAGTTACAAAAGAAACACTTTCATACTCTGTACGTATCAGTTACTTCACGTTTTTGTTCTAGTAATAAAAGAAACTTCAATCGTATTAAAATTATAAAATCATATGATAAAGCTCTTAGTCGAATTGAAATGTGTCATGGTAGCTACATAAGATAACTCTTATCTTCGGATTTGAACTATCAATTCTAAATTCATTTCAGACATTTTATTGTTAATACACGTCAGACATACAATGCACAGAAAGAACACATCTGTTTACGATCAACATTCACTTCTTACTTTCACTACGACGAACATAAAATTCAATATTGTCTACGTAACATAATCCTGTGTGATCACTTCGTTCGATTTCAACTACTACAGATTCTACATCAAAACGAATTTTTTCTGATATAGTTTGCTTCTGCCAATATAGTTGGTCAGTTCCATTAATCAAAAATACTGATAATGGAAATAAAGATAACATACATTCATTTTAGTAGAAGATGAGCAACTAAACAAAATAATAAACTTACCTGAGGGTTTGGGAAAGTTGGGTGAAGATGTGAAAGAATATAAACGTACTTGGATAACACCACCTTGACAATTAATATCAAACGATAAATGACATTCAGCTTCGGAACTCTGAATAAACTTTGAGATACCACTAAAAGAGATCCAACGAGCCAAAGAAACAGGTTTGGCAGTGGCCGCCGCAGTGAAATTAAAACTATAACTTCCCAACGAACTGTTTACCGACGCGTTGAGATGAATTACAGATAATGTTGGTAGGATTCTATCAGGTGATGAAGATAATTCCTGCCAGTTGGGAATATCTAATGATGTACACTGAAATAGAAAAAAATATTTAGTGTGTCGGACTGATGTGAGTTAGGAAGTCGCAAAAGAAAATATATACCATACATAGTAGTATAAGAAATTTCATATTCTATGACTTACATTTGTTTCTGCATTTCCATTTTTAATCCAATTCATCGTTTCATTCAACAGCCACGTACCGTTCGGTAAAATTACATTCATTATGTCTATTAGACCTTGGGACATTGCTTTAATAAGCGATTTATCTTCTAGGAATGAAGCACCGGTCATATTTGCATTAGTAATAATCATAGAAAATGAATCTTCTACAATGACGTCTTTAAAAGTTGTAAACGCTAAATCTGCTCCAGTCAAAACAATTTTTCCGTTAAATACAGCTGAAGTGAAATTTGCGTAGGTCAGATCTGCTTCGTCAAAACTAACATTATATAGAAATACACGATAGAAATTAGCGTGTGATAGCATAGCACGTTCAAATAAAGTTGTTCCATTAAAACAATAAAAACTGGATTGTATCAAGTTGATGTGCGCCATTGATGAGCCTCTAAAATCAACACAGTCTAGAAAAAGACATTTAATGAAAGATGCATCGTTCAAATCAACTGATGACAATACCAAGCCGTTGAATACAAATTTTTTTGAGATTGTATCCTTCAATGTAATACAGGAGAAATTGGTGTTTTGGAGATTCATCGATGTTGATTGAAGAGAACTAGGGAGAAGTTGATTTTCGTGGAGAAATTCAAAGAGCCATGTCTTTCTCTGGCAATCTAAATCAACTAAAGTTGTTAGAGTTTGACTACGAATGTAATCAAGACGTGAGCGGTTATCGACGAATGTTGTTGTTTGATTTTGCTGTTTAAAGATAGAATTTGAAATGTCTATGATATAATGGTTGTATACATTTTGATAGTGAAGATTATCCGCTTGTTGCTGATCTTGTTCACGTCGGCGATATTCGTTATCTTGTGTTTGTTGAAAACGTCGATCTTCATTCTGTTGTTGTTGCACAGTTATAACAACAGTACAAATGCCTATGGCTAGAGGAATAAGTGCACCAAGAGCTAGTTTTAACCATGTCAGGCAGGGTTTTTCATGTCGTTCAGTTTGCCTTGGTGGTATATTCGTGTCAGAATCTCGATCTGGAACGTATATTATTGTCGAAGGGGGTGATTGTCGACGTCGTTTCTGATGATGTCGGCTCATTCTACAGTCCTGATGTTAGAAAACAGGTTCGAAAAAGAAAAAAAATTGCTTCTTTAATATATATATTTTTAGCAAATAATTTAAAGCTGTTTCTCATTCTTTTTTTGAATGTGTTTTATTTCAACATTTGAAACGAGTAAAAAAAATACTAAGTATATTTGCTAAATATAATCTTACTAACTACGAAATAAAACACTAATTCTTTTTCAAACTACCTACTTTCGACAGGGCATATAATTCCTATCAGAGTATTTTGTTGGTTTTATAAGTGGCAAGAAATTTGAAACCTTATATTTTTGTTTGACAAGAACGAAAAACAGAATAATTCATATTTGTACCGTACTTTTTACCTTGACAAAGTACAAAACAGACTTGTTAGTAGGACTGGATCATCTTGAGGGCGTGGGTAATGAATGAGAAGATCACATACATGCACATACATAGAAAAGAAAATATATGGGATAATTCCTTATAAAATGTACCAAGGAATATTCCATAACACTAAAGTTCTTGTGTTTTTCTTCTTGATCAATTTCAGGATGTATTTCAACGTACATTTCATCAAGAAGGAATATTGAGTTTTTGGAGAGGTTTTACACCATATTATTTTTATCGTATTGGTCCACATACAATTCTCTCATTTATATTTATTGAACAATTAAATATTCAATATCAACGACATATTTGTAAAAATGAAATTTATATGTCAACATTATTATCATTAGTATTTTTTTGTTTATACTTTAGTTACTGAATTAGAATGACTGAAAATTTAAGAGTATGAGGAACGTATATTAAGCAAATCACACTCAGATGTATAAGTCTATTAGAAACTTTAAAAAATAAAATATACTGTTTACTCATTTGATTGCTCTTTTTATTATAACCCGACAGCTCGTCTGGGTATATACTATAAGTAAAGGAAATACCCTACATCCACACACACACACCCTCATCATAATGTAGAAATATTTGAGATGATAAACATTTATTCGATTAAAAATAATACTCGATAATACAAAAAAAAATGGTTATTTGTTTTATAAGCTTTGAGAAGCAAAGAAATTCGAATTCAGCAACTAGATATTAAATAAAACGTTCAAAATGACATATTTTGTAAAGAAAAAAATTAGACTTGTACAATGACTCCATTTTCCTTGATGAGTCTGGTCAACTTGAAAGTTAATATGATAATAATTAGCTGCAAAGAAATTGAAATATAGTATTAACAGAATTAAAAGACATCGAATACTTACTTCAAAAATGAAATAACTAAGAAACAGAATAAAAAGAATGTATATTTCAGCTGAAAGTCCATCCGTCGTGTTTTTTACAATGAGAGCAAAGTCTGTAACGGCTAAAATAGCCTGAAAACCAAGCTTGACCACATTCAACCAAGCGAACTGAAGATGAAAAGCAAAGATCAATTTTAATTCGAATATTTCATTGTTTGTTTAGTTTTGGGTAACTATTTACTAAAATTTTAATGTATATACGTTTGTACTATAGAAACAAGATTTAAGTTTTAGCAATAAAAACTAAGTTCTAAAATTTTCTTTAAATGAAAAATAACATTTACTGTTTTAAAATTGATTAGTAAAATCCTATTCAAAGAAACCGTATTAAATTTTATACCAAATATTTTTTTTATAGAATTTGTCTTTGAATAAAAATCAACCAAGATTACATACCACACGTAAGCCTTTTTTCGAATATTTATAACTGACCAATAATCCAAAGCTATAGAAAGCAATTGACGGGATAAAGACAATAATTCCTATAGTTGTGTGTAAATTTCCTGTATAATTTACGACTTGAACAAATGTGATGACCAAATGACAATGCTGCAAAATTTATTATTCAAAATCAGTAAAAAAACAAATACTTCGAATATATAATCAATGTTAAATGTTTCTACAAGAAGAAGAATATTCATGGTCGGAAATAAAGGGCAGTTTTTTCGATCAATGATTAGGTTCTACACATTTCGAGAATGTTGAATAAAAATATTAATTTTTGATTGAATACGGTTTTATCTGTTTAGTCGAATGTTTTCAGTGAAATAGTTTTGAGATATTGGAAAATTTAAAATGAAATAGAAATGTATGATTTAGAGGTTGTTCATTATCACTTTTGTATTATTAATGAAAAACAACAATAAAAACTTACAAGAGAAATACCAAGCATAATGAGGAGAATTGGACGACATCGTTGTAATTGAGGATCATTAACTTGTGCCAATGGTGTCGTAGTAGGAGTATTCGTTATAATCATGTTTTTGGTTCCTCGTTTGTGTTGCATTTGAATAATGTGCAAGTATTTAGACGTCGGAATAAATGCACGAGAATACCGTTCCAAATAGAATAGGAGTAACAGAAATAATAAAAAAAAAATTAAGAAGATTATGTAAATCCTGAGGATAAGTGTGGTTGTCGTTGTGGATTCATCTTTTCTTTACTCACATCCATACTTTTATTCAGCATATATATATATATCTTTATATATCACGAGCGCACAAGGAAAAAATGGGCAAAAGAAAAATATGATACGTTAGTTTACAATGCACAATCATTGTAAAGAAAAATTGATATTGAATAAATCATAACATTTGATATATAAATACTCTTTTGTATTATATCTAGCATGAACAGGAAGTGCCACAATGACAAACAAAACGTGTTATAATTAGAATGAACAAGAAAGATCACGTTGATTCCCTTGAAAAAAAGTGCTACTTATAAAAAATGATTTTTTTCAAAATAATCTTTTATTAATATTCAAGATACTCTGAAACATTACTCTTGGAGTGAATACGATATTTATAATTAATATATAGCTCTCTGAGTTTTGTTTATATAAGTTTTCTTTTTCAGTCGACGTAACATTTATATACTCTAGAACGTAAAATTTGAGAATCTTGAAAATAAACAGAATCATTTTTTAAGAAGACATGGCTCGTATGTGAATTAAAATAGTATGGTCAGTACTAGCTGGATTCTATGAATCACAAATTCATGAGAAATCCGTAGCAATGAGTTGTTTACAAAATAAATATAAAATGGAATATTAAAAAAAATACTGTTCATTTTTTATGCATGATAGTATAATCGATGTTCGTTCTTCCATTTCTATACAAAGATCTATATTCCACTTACTTGACGATGTGCGTGCTTAGCAAACAAACAAAATGAATATTTACTATCTCTAACATAATTGTCATTAAAACTTTATTTTTCTGTCGCAATTATAAAGATATCCGTCTATGAATTACTATTACACTTCATAGAAGATTTTATTTTCTGCACGTACATCGTAGTAACTTCTATACAGAGTTTCCATCAACATGTTTATCGTCGATGAGAAAAGAAATTTTTATCTAGTTACTAAAAATCGTGATGTCCTTTAATTGCGACTTGAATTTTATTTAATAAGAACATTCTTTTTGATAACCATTTTTTTTATCATGCACTTAATCGATGTTATTGTGCTTAAAATCAAAATAATAGATTATGAGTACTTGGTCACAGTGCTTAAAGAGAGCGATGGCAGAGATGTATAGAAAATAGTGTCATATTGATGAGAAGCATGCGGAAAAAATGTTTCAACTATCATAATTTAGTTAATAGAAAAGATATTATTTCTTCCAGAATGTTGATTTGCATTACATTGTTGGATGAAAAAGATATAAAATCCTTCATTTGAACATTAAAACGACAAGTTATCGTAGATTTGTTTTTATTAAATTTTTCTCATTCATTTTAATAATCGTTCAAAACAAAACTATGTCGTTATCAAATACAACTCTTGGTGAGATTAATGCTCTCCGCTACGGTAATATGATCTTTTTTGAGTTTTGGTCTTATTCATTAGTATGTCTTGGCATTATTGGTCATTCATTGAATATTTATGTGTTTACACGTCCAATACTTCGTTCAAATCCATGCACGCCATCTTGGGTGTGGGTGTGGGTGTGGTGTGGGTGTGGGTGTGGGGTGTGGGTGTGGGTGTGGGTGTGGGTGTTGGTGTGGGTGTGGGTGTGGGTGTGGGTGTGGGTGTGGGTGTGGGTGT